GTACTCTTGTAACACCACAAAGGTTTCTGCAAAGAATTCAAGTATAAATGTTTTCATGAATACCAATTATATAATACTACATGGTACAGAAAAGGAATAATAACTCTAAAAGAGTAGAAAAAACCATACAAACCTCTATGAAATTTAGGATAATAAGTGCAAAATAATTGAGCGACCAAATGAAGTCCAGTTGAGTGTAAAAGAAATAAAGCTTTGCAACACTTTGAAAGTTGGGTCTCTCAAGTATTTCCTCAGGTAAGCCAATCCCATCTTCAGCCTGCAGAATTCATGCTAACTAATTAAGATATGAAATCATTCGTTTGAAGTTCCAATTAAAGACTAAACTTTTACTAATTTTTTACTGATTATTTCACACACAGAGAGAGAGAGAGAGAGGAGTCAAATCAATAATTAACCAAAAGAGCCTGGAAAAGGCCTTCTCCTTCCTTTTCTATTTCGTTATGCAGATTATAATTCTTCCTGAAATTACAAAATCCTAGTAGAAAAAAAAGTCCCAACAGAAAACCAAACAAAATAAGTTCCATATTTTTTTTTTTTCAATTTCCTTATTGAGGAAGCCTCCAAAAGAGTCTCGGAACATAAACGAAAAGCACTTTCGATTCGCTAATTCGAGTTTTTAATTCGAATTAAGATGTAATGTTATGTGAGAACTTTTTACTGTAATAAAAAAGTTAAATGTGATTATTTCTGAGAGTTTTTTACTGTAGCAAAACTCGAATTTTAAAATCGAATCAGCAAAAAAACGGGCCTACAGTAATCGAAATTGCGAAAAAAGCACCGCATTCATATCCTACTTTTCTTTCTGTTTCAACGAATACAATTCATCTCGAACGAAAATCCAAAACGGCTTACACAACTCCATTTCTATATATTTGTCAACGAGCTCAAACAAATCCATTTCTAAAGCAAGATTCAAGCGTAAATCAGATCACTATTACCCAAAAAAAACGATCAAGAACAACGAAAGTGAAGGATCAAAGCTGAAAGCAAGCTCATATCACAGAAAAATCGAAATGAAATTGCAGAAGAAGAGGCATTGAAACAGACCAAATCGACAAGCGCAGCAGCTTTCTGGTAAGGAGAGCCGTAAGCTATGGCGTCCGATCGTCGTCTGAAGCTTGCCGACCTCCCAACGCTCCTGGCATGGCCACTGCTTTCTCCGCTTAGCAGAGGCTTCTCCATCTTCTTCTTCTTCTTCTTTTCACACTCTGTAATAACGAGACTTTTTTTGACGGAAAAAACGCAGTGATAAGGTGACTAATGGAACGTCCAAAAAACGAAGAAAAAACGTCTACAGTACTTATTTATTTATTTTGGTGAATTCGTTAGAGAGGTTGGTACAAAGTGAACGAGGCAATTAATGCGAGGCTTTGCTTTTTTCTTTTTCTTTTTCTTTTTTTCCTTCCTTTCTTTCTTTGGACATGTCTGTACTGTTTTTTTGTCCATTATTCATTGGTTACCATTAGAATTTCTTTTATTTCGGTTAATTTAGTTGAAGTTACTATAAAGGACGTTATTGTTTATGAGAATGAGACCGAAAACGTTAATTTTGACTTTTTTAAATATTAATTAATGATATTTTATGTTGTGTGGTCGTTTTATTTTCAGTGGTAAACGTTACTGATTATTATTGTAATTATTTTTGTGCATCCAGTCATTTTATTACATATTATATATATTATGCGAGTTTTGAATAGTTATGGTTACTTAATAAATATAAAATTTAATAATTTATCATAATAAGAATTTAATCTTATTAATTATGATTTGATCAATTACTTAATTTATTAAAATCATTAGATTAATATGTTAAAATTAGAATAACAATACTAACTGATAGATATATATATATTAAAGTAACCTATAATCTTTGAAACACGCCCATTAAATTATATCATCATATTATATTACTTATTAGGGAATATTAGATATTTTTAAAGTATGCCAGTATAATGGTATGATTAATTTTTAATTATTAAATTTGATAATAAAAAAACACATTAAAAAGTATGCATAATAAATAAATTTTGATACAAATTTAACGTTGAAAAATAAATAACTAATAAGACATTATTTTTTTTAATCCTGTGAGAGAAATTCTAAGAATATTATTAAATGTTCAGGATAAAGGAGTGAGTGTGACGTGAAAGATTTTTGGATCCCAATCTGTGCTTTATGTGGAATCATCGTGTATATCTAGTTTGGTAATATACGTGAATGCGACTGAAACTGATGGTAATCAATTGAAAGGGAAAAAAAAGGAAATGTGACCAAGAGGATAGAATTGAAGGACGGGTTCCATGTCGGCACGGGCAAGGTTATTGAATGTGTGTCCTCACTTACGTTACAATGAATCTCCCTTTTATTCTTGCGCCAAAAAAAAAAAAAAGGAATAAATATATATTTTGAGAGATTTTTTAATGCAGTTGATGTATCGGTAGATATGTTTTTACTAACCGTTAAATTTACGTATTTTTTAATTTTTACGTAATTTTATGTAGATTATACAATGTAAAACCTGATTCATCGATATATTGACATATCGAAAAAGTCTCATATATATTATGATAGAAAAGGTTTTTTTAGACCAACAAAAGAAAATGTTATACGATATATGACATAAATAGAGAGCCATACAAAACATAGAAAGTGACAACTGGGGCTAGCAATCCGGATTGCAACACGACGACGCGACTTGAAACCCGAACAAATTTGGGTTTGGGCTTACTATAATGGGTTTGGGTCATAATCGGGTTGACACGGTTAACACAATTAATAAATAAATTAGGTTAGGATTGACCTCTTAATACGAAGTGACATATGATTAACTATATGTGTCATCTGTAATATAATAATATGTGATATAACATGAAAGTTTATGACATTAAATATAAATAATGTGAATTTTAATATTTATAGGTAAAATTCATTTATTTTTTTAAATGAACATATAAATTAACCGATAAACATGTCTTAATCGTGTTAAATAAATCATTATTATATTAATTATTTATTTAATATATTAATTTAAACCGATTATATAAATTGACACGATTAATACAATTAATAAATAAATTATAATTTAATTAATATTTTTAACATATTTAATTAATAAATCATATTTAAATTAATATTTTTTAATATAATTAATAAATAAATTAACATCAACACAATTCACTAACACAAATTCTCATCTGAGTGGCAATCAGGGAGAGTTTCCCTTAAAGAAACAAAACTACCAAAGTAAAAGAGACTGTTAGATCACTCCACTACAGCAACACCACCTCGCCGTGGGGCCATGACTAAGAAGGTGAACGTGGGCCACGTGGACTCGGCCACAACTTCAAGCCCACCACGTCCAAAGACCATAAATAGAAAGTTGAAGGCAACGAGACGATAACTTAATGCAATCACCACCTTGTCTGATCTATGCTCCAATCCCGTTGACTTTTGATACCATTCCCTAAATCCAATTCTACACTTCACACTATGCACATCTAGTTTTTTGTCTGTCTAACCCCGCTACGAGACCCACACATCAATCACGTGGCGTGACACCATAAAATCGAGACACTACCATTTTGTAAGGATATTTATAGAAATCTCAAATCATGTATAGTGTTAAATATCAAATAGGGAGGAAGAGAGAAATATGTCAATAATTAAAATGAATTAAAATTAATAGGTCAGTAATTTACATAAGTTAATAAATAGGTTAAATTACTATTTTCGTTCATAACTTATCTGGTTATGAACCATAACTTATCTGGTTATGAACTATAACTTAACAAGTTATTATCCATAAATTACGGTTTTTGTCCATAACTTGTCTGGTTATGAACCATAACTTAACAAATTTGTCTATAATTTATCTGGTTATGAACCATAACTTGACAAGTTATGGCCTATTAATTTTTATAACTAAAAGTTGGTCTATATACTTCCTTAAACTTTTCAAATTGGCATATTTTCTATTATTTTCATATCAAATAACATCAAAATTGAATCATCAGTTTCCAATTGATAAAGCACAATTTTTTACAAATAGATTTACCGACTGTACAATTTTTTACAAATAGATTTACCAACTGTCTCTTATACGCCTAATATATTAGTAAGTTAAATTTTTTTAACTGTTAAATGTGTATATCTTTTTATTTTTATGTGATTTTATATAAATCTTATAGATAAAAAAATTGACATATCAATATATTAACGTACTAAAAAAAATTTAAAATAATAATAATTCACTAATTATATCACTTAATAGAAACCCCAAAAGGTTGACTGTTGCACATAAGCATTAGTGCTAATTGCTAAAGTTAGATTTCATTCAGTACTATTAATTCTTCCCTCCAGAGGTCTGAAATTTATCTGATCCATGTTAAGGGTAACATGGACGCTTTACATAGATCCTGTAGATTAATGCAATGCATGAATCTAATAGATTAGTTGAGACAAAGCTCGAGGACCACGATAATTTAAAAAATAAATAAATAAAAACATCACTTAGTAAAGAGAGAGAGAAAAAAAAAATCTCCATCATTGTCCTTTTCCATATTCAAATGGAAACTCACAACTCATGAGCTTAAAAATAAAAGAGTTAATTTTACAAATAATTCATGAAGTTTATCCTCAATTCTATTTTAATTTTTAACTTTTTAAATGTTTTACAGTTAGTCTTTAAAGTTTCATATTGTTTCAATTTTAGTCTTTCTATTAGTTTTTTGATCCAAAATATTAATTGTTTTAAATTTTGATCCTTAATTTATATAAATTTCATCAAATTGTAACGCATAATTAATGTTAAGACTGAAACTGAAACAAAATAAAATCTCAAGAATCATTTGTGAACTTTTGAAAAGTCAAGAACCAAAGTGAGATTGATTGTGAACTTCAGGGACCTTTTTCAAATTAATACAAAATGAACAAAAAAAAAATGAAAGGAAAAAGAAAAAGAGAGAGAAACTTGAGCAGCGGAAGAAGCAATGCAAAATTTGCAGCATCATGGATAAAGATGAAAGCTAGCAACGTATTCGTACAAGTAGACAAACAGCTATAGTCCTGAGAAAAGAATAAAAAAATGAGTAACAAAATCTGAATTAAACTAGCAGAACACTGGCTATACTCATTATACACACCGCGAAGGAGACGTATCTTTTTAGGATATGGAAGGGTCAATCAAGAGCTCCTCCTCCCGATTAAAAGTGAGCTTGTTCTAGGTATTAAAAATTTTTCTAATTACCCAATCAATGAGAGACCAAAAATTACAAAAAAAAAAAAAGAAGGGTAGCAATGAAGAAACCCGACATGCCTACAAGAACCTCCGGCGTATTGAAACGGCCTTGTTTTTCGTCTTTTGGAGTTTCCATGCGCCTCGCGATTACATCAAACCTGTACAAAGTTACCCAGCTATGTTAGTAATTAGTAATTAGTGTGGGAACTATACAAGAGTGTTATAGTGGAAAGAATTTCAGCGTTAATGCTTGACTTGACTAGTTGCAGAAGCTACCTATCCATTTCCCTCGCACTTAAAACCTTAAAACTTTTAAAACTTACAGGAGTAGTCAACCGAAGTTCTTATGTTCTTCCATACTGAGTACACAAGAGTTGGAAATCTATTTGCTTGAATTTGAATCATTTAATGCAACGGCATGTGTGTCTTACAATTTAATTACAGAAAGTATATATTACAAACTAACAAGTCTAATAAAGAAGACAAGTATCACAAAATATCTTGTTCAGCATGATAAAGAGGGAAAAGAATTGCTCAAACTAAACTAAAGAGGGAAAAGAATACAAGTATGTTCTTGGTTGTCCCTTCTTTACAATCTCTTTATATTGAAACTTTAAGGTGTACTCATTTCCTCCTGCCCATATTCATTGAATATGTGCTTTAACAACTTCAATTTCTTTTATATTTTTTGATATTCCAAAATCCCCCGGACTCACTTTATGAGCCCGAGCTTGAAACTTGAGCCTTCCGTCAAACCCTACCATCTTTGAAAAGCAGAAAACTATGACTTTGATCATGTAGGTGCCCATGAGGTGGTTCGGACCCCAGACCTTGTGGGAGAAAACTAAAAACCTGACCATTCCAACCAACACCCCATGGGTAACTTCAACTTCTTTTACTAAAAAGGGGCATTTTATTCGATACAGGAAGTGAAGGTATCTATCTACCTAAACAAGCTGAACGCATGACCATTTAAAATGGATTTCCTCAAAATGCAAATTTTACTTGCTAAAAGAACTAAATTTAACTGCAAATTCGTGATAACCATGTACGAGTGAGATGCATATCAGGTAAGACATGATTAATAGTAATAATAATAATAATAACAACAATAATAATATAATTATAATTATAATAAATCAAAAGAATGATTCCAGGCAATAACCATGCAAATTCACCGACTTGAGCTATTTATATTTAACATAGAAAAACAAAAATGATTATGGATATTGGATGCCAAAGCAGGCATAATTTAATCGATTTCAAGCACAGAATTAAAGATGCATAATGGCACCACCCAGAAGTTTTCCCAGAGACAAGGATGAAGAATTACCTCAAATCATTACATGTCAACCTTAGATTTTTTGCCCGTAACAATCTGGAATATCCGGAGGCCCCTGCTGAATGCTTCATTGAACAGGATCCTAGTCTGCATAGACTGAAACCCAGGAAGCCATGATAGAAGAGCCACAGGAACCAAGATAATCACACCAAATACTATATCGTACAATCGAGCCACAGAGACGACCAATTCCCAAAGTATCGTAGACTGCAGAAACGGGCGAAGTACTTGGCAAATCAATATCATGCCCCACCCAGTGGGGATAAATGGCAATAGACTAGTGAAAATGTCCATGAAATTGAAGTTTGTGAACTTCAGCAATGCAATAATCACAAGTATCCCGAGTACAATGACAAGAAACTGGACCAGACGGTAGTATATGTGCTCTTTTGCTGCATATCTGTCCCGAGCATATGCTATCACCACATATATTCCAAAAGCCACCAGGACATAGATCCAAGACAACAAATATACAATGATGCTTTTATTTCCAGATGCAATATCAAGCTGGTACACAATACCATATTGGAAAAAGAAAAAGCGGAGATCCAAAATTACCTCCAGCAACTTTCCCCATAAGCCAGTGGTTCTCAAATGATCCTGCTCCTCATACCACCATCTTTCCCAGCTCTGCTCAGCTTTCGCAAACACACTACCACGAAACCAAATCCAGTTCATGAAGTCATCAAAATCATCTACAGTCTTCAACCAATCGAAACCGGAAGGATTAAAGACAAAGGGAGCCATGATCCATGAGGCAACAAGAAACCAACTAGAGATGGTCAAGGCTATGTATACAAACGTGTCCTTGGCTACAGCACTATGCGATGCATAAACTATAAGTATCAGCCCAAGTTCAATAGCTTTTATGAAATGACTACGAGCGTAGAGTCTATAATTTTCTGCAAAACTCTTGTGCTGAACAACAAAGCCACGTCCAGTGGCACGATACTTTGCACCACCATGAAGAATAGTTCGGCCAAAGAAGTGGGTACGAGTTCCCATCGAGAATGTGTAGAAAACAGAAGAAAGCTGGAGCTGCATTGTCAAGAAATCCCAAACAGCCTGCAGGAAACCATGCTCAAGAGAGTTCTCCACTATCATTGGAAGGGCAGTGAAGAGACCAAGTTGGATGATGAACTGCTGATTCAAGATTGTGCTAAGTGCTTTATTGCTATCGTTCGACAAAGCAGAACCCTCGATACCACTAAGAGCCAGATACAGACGGCCCCACAAGAATGCATATACAGTCAGAATAACCATCATTGTGTTTAAAAAGAATCCCACTGTAGTGTAAAAGAATGACAGCATTCTAAAGAAATCCAGCCTATGACCCAGCCTGTAGACATCTCTGCTCAGTACTTGCTCCCCATTTCCACTTGCAACCTTGGCTTCAAACATGGAAATTTGGTTCAACCCTACATCTCTTCCCTTTCCAACTTGAATATATTCATGGTGAGTAACATTGCCTCCACGCAGCGTGCAGTTAAAGCCAGCAAAAATGTCTTCACTAATGTTAATCACCCTGGAAGCTTTACTAAATCCACCTCGAGTGAAGAACCAAAACCTGTCAAACACATCAGGATGGCCATAATGCATTCGAACTTTTAGAGGGTTCGCCAAAACACGCTGACCCAAGGTGACAAAGCTAGTTTCTTGCGCCGACATAAACCAAGCAAGTGATGAAACAGAACCAGTAAAAACATGTTCTCTGACTCCCAAGATTGTAGGTTTTCGGACACCATAGTAGCGCCTGTATTCTTCCAATAGATTCCTCATTTTCAGGGCCTCCTCGAAGTAGTTATCCTGGTTCATATCAATTGTCTGAACTGCGTCACCACGAGTGAAGATAATGGCGTGATTTTGATTCTCTGGTTTTCCCTCTCCGAGCTTCAACGGACCAGGCAACTTTACACGGTAGATTTCCACTTCCTTATCTAACTTCTGATCATACTTCACCAGAACAGAGTAATAATCTTTCTCGTCTCTGCCAGTTGACACCTCATCAACATAGGCAACTCGAAGAGCCTCATTGGTTTTCATTAGATACAAAATTTCCTCAGCATGCGGGTCTTTTTTTGCCTTCTGCGTTCCATATATCTGGCACGCTACCACATATGTAAACTTCATTAAAGCAGTCCCATACTCATGGCCTTTGAATAACAAACTCACCGAACTGTTTGTTCTACTTAAACTCTTAGATGAAGGAGACCTCTCCGAGTTGAAACCGTCCAGGCTGATGTCTCGCCTCATTGAACCAAGCTCCCGTGATCCTTCACGAATGTCCATCTCTGAAGCAGAGTCTAGAAATGCCAGCATCTTAAGAGCTCGATAGTAATACATCATTCCCCTCACAGTTCGTGAAAGTGTTTGGCCTCTGTACGATGCCCAGAGCCTGAGATCTCTCAACTTCGTTGTCCATATTTCCTTATCATCTACTATTCCTTCTCGGCGCATCCTCTCCATAAAATTTTTCCACTCATCATTATAAATTGTCTGCAAATAATACAGGGTCGAAATCCCATCCTCATTCTCAGTCCTGAGTTGCTCTTTGTTGTACAAAACTTCTTCGCTGTAGTAAGGGGTCAGAACACTGAAAGCCATCATTTTCTCAACTTGGGGAGCATGGGGCATGTTCATAAAGAGGGAGTTACTAAAGAAAGCAATTCTGCGTCTTGCCTCAAGGTTAACCGGGATATTGTGCATTGAATCCCGAGAAGTGAGTATGGTGTGCAGGCGCCGCACCTGCCGATAGAAGGCTTCATCATCAGGATCCGGAAACTGAACAGAATTCTCAAACAGAAGCCCTGCTGTAGAAGCCAGATTTTGAGGAGCCAAACCCTCCTCCTTTAACTGTTCAATGCTCCTCTTGTCCCTGAAAAAATCTCGAATAACAATCTCATAGAGGGCCTGTAGAGTATTTACCACCTGGCTAGCATCTTTGTTAGGCTTGTTCAACAGTTCAACAAGTTTGATCAACTTCGAGTGGAGTGTGGGAAGTGCAGTCGTTTTAAAAGTTTTCGTGAACCTCTCAATCTGTAGAGAGTGATCAATCTCTTGAAATAGAACCGTGACAATGGAATGCTCTTCGCTGTTACGTTTGATAATCTGAAGAATCAAGTGCTTAGTACAATCATAAGCTTCTATCACAGCACAACGCCTATATTCATTCTTGCAAATCTTATACCAAAGCCACTTATCAGAAGCATCCACCAACTCCTTGCCCTGGCTGAGCGCAAGCAGCAACTCATTGCAGAGAAGGAAACAAGGCCAGCGAATTACCCTGACATTCCAAGAGTTCTGGGGCAGCTCCAACAACTCAAGTTCTCGGTCAGAGATAATATCTTCTTCCCTGAAAGTCATTATTATCTCATTCCATATCAAAGCAAACTTGTTTGCCTCTACCTGATTAGATTCGAGCTTCCTGTATGGCTGACCAAACCCATATCTCAGCTTCAACCGGTGAATAGCATCTTTAAACTTATTCCTTAGCGTCCCCCTTGCATTCAACAGCTGCTCCTCTGGCATGAGATTGAACTGAATTGCACTTGCAAAGAATTGGAACCTTAATCTCAATTGTTGCAGATTCCGGATCTCGCCCAAGTGTGAAAACAACCCTACTGCTGCCCCCACAAAAGAGGAATAGATAGAATACCAAATCTGCAAATCCATGAGGTAAATCAAAACAACCGGAAGCCATAGTAACCCAACAGAAAATCTATTGCTGCTTTCAAAAAACTCATGCCACTCGTAATCCAAGTTCTTAATTCTCAACAGTGCTTTTGATGGGGCAATCATGGGTTTGATCTGCATGAAGTAACTGAAGCAAAACTTTGTAGCCAGCACCACAATCCAAAACAAAGTGTACTTTATATTGTCCACAAGACCTTCCCTCAACCCGCGACCAACAAAGATTCTGCCCTGAAACCACCACGACATCATGCGAAAGATCCTCCAATTTGTACCCTCAATAAAATTTCGAATCCAGGGGAGAATAAAAAGAGCCAGTGCTAGAATCTCCGGGAGAACAAAAACCAATGCCACCTGAAGAAAAGTCACCACCCTCCGATTCGCCTCGGCCGACCACCTCCTATCATTATTCCTCTGTGTCCAAATCCTCGCATAGAACACCCCAAAAACCACAATCCACCCTGCAGCAACAGCACTCTTCAGCACCATCCTCACCCCGAGCCTTAAAGTCTCCCTCGAAACCAAACTGTACTGCATCCCCGCGTCGAGCAACGACTGCAAGAACCTCAACGCACTCCATGTGAAGAATACGGTGAGAACCCGGACCTGAACGCCCCGATCCCGCAGCGAATGCCAAGGATACTCGTCCTGTTCCCAGGCAACAATAATGGCCGCCTGAAGGAACAAAATGAGCATGATCCAAAGCCTATCAAAGCTTCTAAACAAGTTCCAAAACGACCTCTGCTCCACAAACCCGGTCTTACCCACATGCCTACTCCTACTAGAAGTCACAAAGAAATTGCTCCCAACATCAACAGGCCATTTCAACTTATCGAAACACCTTTTACTCCAAAAATACTCGTTTATATCGTCATAATTCCTCCACACACTGTGCGGGGCTGTCCCGTTCCTACTACTCTCAACCTCGGCCCTAATCGTCTCGTAAATCGGCTTTACAACGCAGTTCAAGAACGCGTTCTCGCCGGAGACCGAGGGCATAACCGGCTGCCCCGTGTTCTCATCAATGTAATCCTCCAAAATCTTGTTCAATTCCATGGCCATATTATGAAATATATAGCAAATACACTCTGGAACAAATCGGAGATTAGCAGACTCACCCCAAATCAGGAGATAAAGCGAGACGTAGAGGAGCTCGCGGCGCTGGTCCGACGACGCCTCGCGGCGGTCGGAGATCCAAATGTTGGACTTCTTCCCCAAATAGTAGCACCAATCGGTGTAGTTCTTCAACAGCTTCTTGCGGAAGCGGCGGAGGACGCTGACGTCGAGTGTGTCGATGTTGTCCGGCGGCGGCGTGAGGCGCATCTGGGCGTTGGCGAGGTGGAGGACGAGGTGCTCCCTCTGGTTCCGAACGTTATCGTTTTGGAAGCCGAAGAATAGTGCGAGCCAATCGAGGAGGTCCATGTGAGGGAGCCATTGCGCGAACGGCGGCCGACGGAGGTTCCCGACGGCTCGCAGCGCCGCCGCCGCGGCTCGAACCTCCGGGTACCGCAGCGACGGGTGGTCCGCGAGCAGGTTGTGCACCGGGATTATGTTGTACGGCTCCGACTCCGGATCTCCCGCCGCCGCCGCCGGGCCCGGACGCGAAGGTGGGGGCGGTCGCTGGCGGAGGCTCATGAGAGGGTTGAATCGGAAGAAATGGTGGCACGGAAGCTCCGAATATTCGTGTATAGCTTTATCTTCCCTATCTGAAAGACAGAGAGAATTGGTTTAGAGAGAGAGAGAGAGAGAGAGAGAGAGAGAGAGAGATTGAGAGAGAGAGAGGAGAGAGATGCTTCGGAAGATGCAAATGGGAGAAGAAGGAAACAAAGGAGGCGCGTTTCATAGAAAGCGCGTTGCGGTGTTTTTGCTCTTTCTCTTATTTCTTATTTCTTATTTCTTTTTGTTTTGCTTAGTGTATTTGATTTTCATTGTTTTTTGAATGGGAAATTTCCCTCTTTTTCATTTTATTCCTTTTTTTGGACGACTATCGCATTAGTTTCCTTTACATTCTAAGCAGCGTTACATTATTACATGGCAATAGATCTTTAGTAGTAATCAGGGCAATGCAAAATAATAAAAAAAAAAATGAAAAGAAAAGGGGTTGTTTAACGGTAATTGACATCATTACTGTTCCTTTTTAAAAGCCTTGTCTCCTTATTTTATCCAAAAGTTAATTTTGGATGTCTCTTGTTGAAGTGGAACATCTTGATACATTGTTGTGTCACTAGTTTAAATTTTAATCATCAACGGATAAAGCACATGGTAGAATCATATTTCACGATCTAAGCACTTTTAGCTGTTATTATTCGAGTGATGTTATCAATGGGACTAGCCCTTCTTTTGTTCATGTGCACATATGTCAAAAGTAAAGGATTCTGGATTCGGTTTTATCTATTAAATTATATATAGTGACTTCAATTCTAAATTAAAAAAAAAAAAGGAAAAATATATTTTTGATGCCTAACAAGGCAATACAAACACCAATCTACACTTGTACACCTTCTTATTGCTAAAAACATGACATTCATAGATGATACTTATAAACTCGAATGGAAGGCTAAAAACAAGACACTGACAGATAACATGTTTTAAATAAAAGATACTAAAATAGGTAAATTGAAGATTGAGTATTCTTTTAACATATTTATTACAATCAATAGACATACCAACAATGGCAACTTAATCCTTTAGCTTCCCATCTCCAACCTGATGTTGAGATATGCCTTACTTGTTGCCCTATGCGCATACCGCCACCACCACCTCCGTGAATACGTATGGGTCAAGCTTTTAAAGTTGGGCACTCGGCAATTTACCCAAAGGTGACACCGGCGCTTTGGCCATCCCTCTCTCGTTTTTTAGCTCCGTCATCCCTTTAGTGCATAACAACTATAACTTAAGATTATTAAAGTATTAAATTATTGTTGGTCTATTTTTTAATAGTTTAAGTTTTTAGGATGGATTGATAAACTAACAACTTAAGATAAGTAAATTTACCATTTAGTATACTATATGGTTACTAACCTAAATTATCATAGAAATCCAATGTTTTTTTACTTTAAAAAGTGATTACTCATAAAACTATCTTTTGTTTTTCCTAAAAGAAATTGACTTGAATTTTTTTTAATAAAGATGGTATTTTAGTCAGCCGAAATAAAATATTACAATTGCAATTTTAACAATAAGAAGATTGATGTAATGAATAATTCATTATAATAAATAAATCATTTAGATTATTGATTTGACTATAAAAATAGAAAGAACTTTTCAATATTCATTTTTTTTTATTGGTGTGTATTAAACTCCGTAAGGGAGATAAATTCGATATATATCAGAAATAAATCTTTGACTCTTGCAAACGTCTTATTTCGTTCCAAATCGTATTTAGGAACCCGTTTGGTTTATGGATTAGAACCATGATATTAGAATCATTTCTGATTTATGTATATTTTTTGTGAGAGAAAATACTGTAGCAAATTATAATTCGAATCAGAGAACGAATCCTCAAACCAAACGGGCTTTAAATGTCTTATCTTTGCATTAAAATATCCACTAATTTTTCGTGACTGATATGATAACGAATTTGTTGATTTTTAACTGGCTTAAAATCATCTAGATACAACACTCAGAAGCTACAAATTTAAGAAGAGACTGCACGAAATGTTGATCCCATCGACTAAGACAAAAATACCTGCGTGTACAAATAAAATGTCGCAACGTCAATATAAACACTGGACATTTTTTTCATCACGTCAACATAAAGCCTTGAATATTGTTTTCTTAATAAGAAAGAAGAAAGTCGCAACGAGCTTGATTTTCTCGAGGGGTCACAAACACTTCTCCACCTTATTAAGAAATATAAGCAGTACGTTTGAAGTTTCGGTTCTCAAGCTTTCTTAAGGTGAATTAAATTGGAGATCTTTATTTATTTAATTATTTTTATTATTATTATATTATTTTTATTTTGTCTTCGTATAACCAAAGGGTTGGTAATTAAAAATATTAACCATACGAGCAAATGATTTATATGTTTAAACTTGAATCTTTCAAAGGAATTAGGGCATGCTTGTAATGAGGGAAGTTCAATGTTTTACATATTGTTGCCTTTACTTTACTAGTACTTTGACTTCATCTGTGCTCATTTTTATACTAAAAATCTCTAGATCACATTGAATAGTTTATGTAATTTATCCAATTATATGATTATAACTTGTAATTATATGCAGCTTATTAGTAGGTTAATGCTTCTTACTAGTAAATTATCTCTCTTAAATCATTGTCTTCTTTTCTCCCGTTTATTTTCTTATTATTTAATATTTAATTTCTATAGCTTAGAGGTTGATAATTGACATGGTTAATTTTATTTTTTTTAGCTCCTAATTCTCGAATCACCTTTTTCTTAAATCGAAAGTTTATTAGCATGAGAAAATAAGGGAATTTGTTTGGTGTTCCTTACTTAACAACCGTTGGATTTATATTATTTTTTCAATCTGATTTGATTTTTGACCATATTTAATACAGATCCGACGGTTGATAAATAAGAAATACCGGTATTTAAAAAAAAAAACATCATAAAAAATCTCAAAAAATAAAAGCAAAACACATAACTCAACAATGGACCCCTGTTTTTCCTTTCCCTCATATTCTTTTAAGTCTGTTTCTATTTCTTTCTCTTGTTTCAAATCTTCATAAAATAAAGCTAGAAAATAGAAATCTTATCAATAACTTTAATTGCACCATTAACTTAGCTTAGAAAAGAGTGCTTTGCATAAATTTAAAGCATGATACAATGACTTTCCTTACAATGCGGCATGAACCCATAATTAAGTAGGAGCAATGCTAATATCATTCTTTCTATCACTCTATTTGTTATTCTTTATATTTATCATTTGACATATAGGCTTTGTTAACAAAAAATAAGATAATAGAGTCCATATGTCAAAAGATGATGAATATGTTAGCGTTACTCATTTTGTCACTCTTATCATTTATTATTTGACACATACACTTTATTAACAGATACATTATTATTTAAACAGAAAATAATATAATAAAACTTATGTATCAAATAATAAATATAAAAAATAACAGAAATATTAATGCTAACATTTTTCATGTTAGTATTTCTCAATCAAGCAAACACAGATGAAAAATTCAAATGTAATGCACTAGCCTTTTAAATGCTTGAATCTTACTTTCAGCTTAAGATTCACTTGTTGTCGTTGTTTTTTTAAAAAAGTGCATAGAGAAACGACCTTTTGAGGCACCCCCATTTTCCCCACCTCGCAGCGTGCCATAATTTCTTCGCCAGTGTGTTTAAATGACCACTCGCTGTTAGACGCGTGGATCTACCTCCGACTACGTTACGGTCAAAACGCGCCTAGTCTAGTTGTCCTTGTTTTATAACGGAAACTTCAAATTGAAAAGCAACAGTTGTCCAGCTCATCGCGTGGGCCCCCATTGATGATTTGGATGTATTTGACTAGGCGAACTTGGCGTGGAGAAAAATATCTACGCGTAATAGATTTTTAGGTCCGTTTAGTTCGCTGATTTAAATTTTTAATATGAGTTAAAATATAATTTTATGTATGAATTTTTTACTGTAATAAAAAAGTTAGATGTGACTGTTTCTGAGAGTTTTTTACTATAACAAAACTCAAATTTTAAATTCGAATCGATAAAATAAACGGAATTTTTTTTTTAAGGTTTTAATTTAATCCGCTTTCTGGAAATTGACATTTGGTAAAATAAACGGAACATTTTTTTTTTTAAGGTTTTAATTTAATCCGCTTTCTGGAAATTGACATTTTTCTGTAATTTTTAGAATAAAACCTAGGAAAAAGACAGGTAGTCTTGTTATATTTCGAGAACCAAAATATATATAATATATATATATAACATGGAATTTATAGGGGAAAAATAGAAATACGCTTTTAGTATAAGCTTTCAAATAATTTTGAAACCATTCACGCTATATCTCAAATAAGTATAAAAATTCCCTGTAATGCTTTTGTGGTAGTAAAATTATGTTCAATGTGCCCCCAGAAGAAAAAGTTCGATAATATACATACTAAAATGCCATATATATAACATTCTCTCAATCCATGTAACATGCATGTAAAGCACGTAATTTTTATCCTTGTAATACAGTTAAATGACATAAATGCTTGTGTTCGAAATAATAGAAACTGAAGGAATGTCACTTTAATGAGACATGATAAGATTATCTCACTATAAAATACCGGCCAAAAATCAACAAGATACGTCGTTGAAAATTCATCATCGCTTGTCTACGGCCTTTGCTAGACGTTGAGGCGATCTCCTAGATTATCACCAATAATCTACCAAACCATGTCACTAGAATCACTAGAATCAACAATGATTACTAGTTGTGGCGTGTGGGGTTTACGTATTGTAATTTAGTCGGTCCTATAACTACACCATACTTCTATTGGGTTCTGCTCTCCTTTTTCTCTTTTCCCTCTCACTGTTGTCTGTCATCTTCCTTCTCACCGGTGAGATTCTCCGTCAAAGTCCACGTTGATCTGCGTCGACAAGAGCACCGGATATTTCATATGCGAATCTGAGTTTTGCTTCCCATGCCTCAGCAATGAGATCTCGAATCAGCTAGAGCTCCTTTGGCTCAAATGATTAAAGACGCCAAAACATCTGGTAATTTCCCTCACGCTTCCCAACACTGGCACCAAGGAAGGCAATATCTCTTCAAATATAGTGTGATGACATGACTGTGATATTCTCTGTAATATTTTATGTCCCTTGGCATATATTAATACAAGCCTAAAATTCGTGGCAGTTTCTTTTAGAGTATATTTGGTAGGAATGAGAGAT